CGAAAATCCCGGATGGAGCTCATGCCGGGAAAGGGATAATCTTACACCGTGAACAGAACGAAGACACGGTCCATCTATGCCGTACAGCTTGAATTACGCTTCATTGTGGTGTGCCCTTACGGAACGAGACACCAATGTATTCACCATTGTAATCGAGTATGTACCTATCGCAACGTGAACGAAACCTGTGTAGAGATCCTTCTTCAGCGAACTTGAAAATTTTATAGGCTTCTCTTCCGCCCGGATGCGCTTCCTTCGTGTTCCTTTCGCGTTCCCTTCGCGGTGATACAGGATGTTCAGTAATAGGAGCAATTCGGGGGATACACGTGACGATATATTAATTTGTCTTCAAAATTAAAAAGTTTTCTTCTTATTGTTAATAATAAGTAAATCATTTCTGAGCAATCGATTAAGAAAGAAGTTTTTACGAATTACGTATTAAAAATATAGATCGATAACAAAATCTAACTCTTCAGCTAATCTTGCGAAAAAATTAATTTATTATTATAAAATCCGGACTTGATACACACCCACATAATTATCGTAATATTTATAATAATATGTAAAAACTATAAAAAAAAAAACTATATAAAGAAATTTTGAAAATAAAAATTATTTCCAACAAGGAATATCATACTCTATTTTCCAAAATCTTTTATTATTAAATATCCTTTGTTCTTTAATATATACATGTATAAAATGTATCCGTTAGAATGTTGAAACCGTGCCCGAAACGTGCCCACAACAATTATATTCGCCTGTCTTAACGTAAATGCTAATTGCGATATAATATCAGTGATCTTGGAAACAAGAGACAGGAAGCACGTACACACGTTTACATTTGCTGAAGTGTAAAGATTGTCACAATGTGTACGACGTTTCGATATTTCGCAGCAAAGTTATAAAACTGACAAGGAAGGTCAGTTATTTGTCACAATGACAGGCACTTTACTAAATAACTGCTAAATCATATAGACGAACGTGTGTAGGATTGGCAATTCAAGGAGACGCAACGAGATGTTTTCTTCCGACTAATTCGCTGTGTGTATGTGCGCACACATTGAGTAATACGTTCTTATCCAATATTGTAGTACAATATTGGATAATATTTTGTCCTTTGCTTAATGTGCGTTACATATAAGAATGATATCACTTCACGGCAGACGTCATTGCTTAGCGTTGAAATGCGCCAAATTGATTATCACTGATAAAGTTATTAATAATCGAATGATTTCAGCGTATCACGCATTTCGAATCCCGATGCACGCGTTAATAAATTCGCGTTTCGCACTGAAACCGGACAGCCTTGCAAAAAATGTAATTTGGTTTATCGACCAACGAATGGATATTTACCTTGCAACGTAATGCGCATATTTGTCCATTGACTAGTGCATACCCGGTGTATTCACCCTATATCTATACTACTGCTATTATCCACTTGGATCCCGCCGCCCATCCCCGTGAATCTACTTCCGCTCGTCGCATATACTCGTAAATTAAATCGTATAATCGGATAACGAGAGCTGCCTCCTCGCAGCTCGAGCGAATAACTCGCGATAACTCGATCTCGGCGCGAATCGTCTTGTCCGACAGCCCCGCCTGTTGACCTGTTATCAATATCTCGGTAGAACCGTTGCGAAGCAATCGCCTTACTCTATAAACGAAGAGCTCATGTCGAGCAATGATGCTACGAGAAATTGTAATTTCGTAACTGTGTTTGAAAAAGATAAATGAAAATTATACGGTCTGCTCGGCTTGTCATATTTTTTCGCACTTAAACTTGATCAGATTAATGTTGAACAATTTTTTAAACTAAATTCTAAATATTTTTATAATTAAATGTTTAATATTATTTTTCTACTTAAATAAAAGATTTGATAAAATTATATAAATAGTGTGAGATTTTATTATATGTATACGGACGGGTATAAAAAATATATAAATTGTTGTTATATATTTTTTATATGTATGCTTTCTTAAAGCTTGATTTTTGAAAAAATTGCTATTTTAAAACCGGAAAATTATTTCATGTTTCATCAATTTTATTAATGAAAATTTATTCTAAATTAAAGAAATCGGCCGCAGAAGAGCTGTAAATCCGCGATATTCTATATAATATCTGCTTATACAAACTTATATAAAAGTCATTCTAGTTGCAGCTAACTAAAACCGATAATTTTCGCCTTCTTAATCTCGATACGAATCGTCTCATCAACATTTTTGACATCGTCGGTGACGCCTGGCGCTATCATTACCGCAGAATGCGCGCCCAAAGAGAGAATAAGCACTTTGACCCGTTATCAGTACTCGGCGATTGCGTCGGTCATTGACACAAGAATCCGTTACTTGCATAGCCGTGGACTGAATACTCTGGATAATATTGCCGCTTTATAAGATGTAATCCAAGTTATTCGAAAACTAACGCAGAAAATTTAATAAACTATAGAAATTATATGCAAAAAATAATGAAATCTCTTACGAGATCTTGTAATACACCTTACGACATAATCATCGCTGTGTTTTTTAATTCATTTATTTTTAGTTAAATGCTATGAAACTGAATTTTCCTAAATCTGTCTCCGGATTCTATCTCATTATCATAATTTTTTTTAAGTATACATGTATATCACGTCTGTGTGTGTGTATAACGTGTATATCTACAGTCAGCATAAGCTTTCCCATTATCGCCTCGACAAGTACGCACCACGCGCGCCAGAGAGTATCTCGACGTGCCAGATTCTATTCACCGACAGGCCGATCTCGCGTTTACCGTCTGACCCGCATTCCATCCAGCAGCCTGAAATTTCGCTCCTCGTCCGTGTGTCCCCCGTCTCTTCTTCCGCATTACCTCCTAGTGAGCCCAGCAAGTTCAAGCGCCTCTCGTGCGAACCTCCGCACCGATCGGCGGAATATTTATTCCTGCGCATCGCGCGCTAGGCGCTGCGAAAATATTATTGCGCAGATTGAAAAAAGCCTCAAATATATCTATATGACAAATTTCACGATAAAAGAACAATGCACCACTATTTTCCTACACTAGTGACCCAGATAGCAAAATGCTAGCAGCATGCGCGCAGATTGGCAGCAAATTTAATCAGAATTCCATGCCAAAACCATAGCCATCTGTGACCACATTAAGCTCAGGTTTTGTCGACAGAGCCTGCTGACAGGCAATGTGAGCAGATTGGCAGCAGAAATCACGCAGAGCCTGCGCGCAATCTGACGGCAGATTGACAGCAGAAATCGAGCAGTTTCTAGACATTTATATAAAAACATTAAAATGCACAAATTAATTACCCACCACACGGCCAGGTGAGAAGGATTAAGTGAACAATTAGAAAGGATTCCTCTTTAGAAGGGGAAGATAAAACTCAAAAATAATCAGAATTCATAAAAAAAAAATTCTCATTTCTTGAGATCATCTCGCGACGCGTTGCACTCTTATGATCTATACCGCTTAAAACTTTTAGCTACACTTGATAAAAATTATGTTTATTATATTTTCGTTCGCTGTGTTAATCTACACACTTATATGTTCCAAATTTTTCCTTCTGAATGCATTAGTTGCTAATGTACAATTAATTTTCAACATTTTTAATATCAGCACAGATAAACCAGTGCCAAAAGAAATACAAAGGGGAAAGTCTTAAGAAAGATTGAAATGCGATAGAATGTTGAATTATAATGTCACGCGTTCCATTGAATACACATCGTAAAATAAACCCTTATTTTCGTAATTGCAATCAGGCTTTATTTCGAATGCACTTTAGCTGGCGCCAGAAAGTGGATACCCAACAAGTCACCTTCAGAGCGTAATCGCATGACGCCGCCTAATAAAGCCTTATCAAAATAAAACACTCCAATCAACATGTATTTCGTTGATTTATGCCACATTTGATATAACAAGGAAACAACAATGTAATCGCATTTGACGTTATAGATATATGTATATAACAACTCGTAACAACTCATCAATATATATATACATATATATGTATATTATTCGCACACAGTTATTAAAATTGTGCACAAATTACTGTTTGCCGTCAAAATTTATACATACCGATTAGACGAATCATATGTCACTTTGTAGCATTTCAACACAAGATGGATTAAGATGTTACGCAATATCATTACAAAATCAACACATTCTACATGGCTATTTCTCGAAATGTCGAATCTCAAACATTTTAAATAGTTCTTTTATTTTTTTTGTTTTTTGTGCTGTGACATTAACATACATAAAAAAAAAAACAAATTTTTCTATAGCTAATGAAATATTATAGTGATAGCTGATATGATGTTATTATACAATATTTCATAAATAAAAAATAATGGATTTAAATTTTTAAACCAAACGAAGCACCTGCCAATAACGTATAATAGTATACGGATAAATTCAAAATTGTCAAAAACAGTAAAAATAAGGTAATAAATAAAAACGCAAAATAAAAACGTTGTCGGTAAAGCTAAAAAGTGTCAATAACGGAAAATAAAAATAATAAATATAAAATAAGATCATATAAAATAATAAAAAAGCCATACAAATATATGTAGTTAAAATAAAAATAAAAAGGTTGTCGAACGATAAATAAAATTAATAAGTAAGTAAATAAAAACGCAACTAGAAATGTCGTCGGTAAAGCTAAAAACGTCAATACAGAAAATTAAAATAATAAATATAAAACGGTTAGAACGCAAAAATAAGGAAATTGATAACAAATAGTCGTCGTTGAAGATAAAATGGATTGTCGGCACGATAAAAAAAAAAAAAAAAAAAAAAAAAAAAAAATTTGGTCGCTATGTAAACAACGGCGCAAACAGTTCCATTGCAAAGTTATAAGGAACAGTAAAACAAATAATCCTAAAATTGCAATGAAACATACAGAATGAATATGAAAATATAATGAATATAACAAAAGTCCAGTATGGTATACAAATAAATAAATTTTATCTTCAGCGACAATTTTGAATTCTGTTTTTGACAATTTTGAATTTATCCGTACCCGACAACCGTCTTTTATTGTTTTGCGCCGTTGTTTGACGGCGCTGACAGCGCTTGTTTTTATCTTCTCACTGTTTTCGCCTAATGATAATTGTCCCATTGCTCAACCGTTAGTCAGTGTGTCTAGTTCTAATTTACTGTCGACTCGTGCGTTACCTCGTAAGTCTTACAACTGTTATACAACATTGATCTTTGCTCTCGTCATTTTCCGACACAGGCCGCTCCTCTTTTTACAGACACTATTAACATCAACGTAGCGCCATGTGCTTAATTTACAAACGAAATTACTCAAGAATCGAGGATTCTTTGACACGGATACTTGGGAGAATGGTCTTGTCGTTTGCGGATGACCGGAGAGAATCACACTCCACTACTAGCATCTTTGTAGCTATGCGTTTTTAATCTCTTACAACCTTTTTATATTTATTTGTAGTTATAATTTTATTATTCGATGCGCTGAGTATGGCCAAAAGAAGGGCCGAAACGTCCGCGAGTTAGATATTCTATTGTAATCTTTTTATAATAAATTTATAATTTATAACGCCCTTAATACCGCGCTTGGCTCTTTTTGCCATTTTTGACATTCTTGATTTTATTCATTAAGAGCCTTATTTTTATATTTTGTTGAAATATATTATATAATTTTATGTAAGATTATGACAATCCTTCACATATTTTCTTATGCGTTTACATAATCAATATTAAATGACAGTTGCATTTGGCATTCCTAACAAATATAAGCATGATATTCAATACTATCTCCCATTAATATTTAAAGTTTTTAATTCGCTTAAACTCGTTTAAACTAAGCTAAAAAAATATTGACAGAATTTCTCACACGCTATTCCTATGAAGTTACTTAATACTTAATACTTAATAATAAGTTACTATGAACTTAGCTTAAACTTGATTTTGCTGGACAGAAGTGACAGGGTAATATGTTATTCGATTGATATTGATATCGAAAGTATGATCGATGATACACACAAATGTATTTGTCGTCGCGTCATGAGCCTAAATCATCTTGAAATTTTGTTCTCGGAGATCGATAAAAATGATTCACTTTTCAGCGCAATAACTTTCTCTTTCGACGATTGTCACAACGATAATATCTAACGTATTCAAGAAATACCGTAAATATATACATCTAAAATAAAGACAAATATATTCGCAACAACTCATCAAAACACTAACCTAGCTTATATTTATCATGAATTATTGATAAATCGATAGCAATGTTTGCATACAGGATAAAATCATATAAACCTGGTAGTCAACAATCGATCGCAAAATTAAGCGCTTTCTCGATTATATTTCCGATTATTTCATATTTCACATTAAATTAATTCCGACGACACATATTAAGCAACTCGCGAACAAATCGAAATATAAGTTCTCGCGATTAGCGATATCGATCGGAGCACGTTGTCATGTGCCCGGCGACAATCATCATTGACGATTATCATCTCGTTATAGTAACCAAGGACACAACTCTCACAAAGCATACGCTTAGTTAAAGTAGAGCCGACGCGACAAATGCCGACATACGAAATTCAAAAGAGTGTCAAGCTTGCACTGAGCATCAATTACTATGGCAAACATACCACTTGAAATCAGTGAGCAACATAGAGATCACGCGTATGTATGTGATCATCATCTAATAGCCATTGGCACACATAATTACGATCAAATGATAAATCATTTGAGACCGATGGATCATTCCTCGCGGAGCTCGTTGTGTGTCATTTCCACTTACGCTCGAATTAATTGATATTAGCTATTAGTTTTAGCGTAGCTTCTTAGGGACCATATATATATATATATTCGTCGATTTGTTCGCAAAGCGTAGTGTTCGATCGCGACGTAATGATACTGATGATGATAATAATTAAAATTGTTCGGTTACTTTAAAATACAAAGAAATAAATGCAAAAATATACGTCATGTGTCTGAAAGTGTGGAAGAAATACTATGTGTCAAGGTGATCTGTTATTAAAATCAGTGTTTAAACATCTTTCCAAAAATTATCTTATTGAAGTAAAACAATGAGAAGACGTATATTCGGTTACGTAAATGAGATGTTTTTTCAAGATGCGTTATCGCGCAAATATAGTGTGTGATTACAACAGTAAGTTTGATTTATAATAATAATATATGATAGATTTAGAATAATGTGCAATGCGATTAAATTTTCATATCGTAATCATATATCATAGACGCACAATGTATACAGTTGTCGCATATATTTATCAGCGTCGCAACACTTGCTGTCGTGAAAACACGTAATGTAATGACAAAATAGACAAAGATGTAGATACAACATATTACAAGTATATTTTTAATATCACCAAAATCAAATTGAAGCATTCTTTAGACAACTCATAAGTGACAACTCCCATTCTTTAGACAACTCCCTGTAACTTTTCATATGTATAGATCCAAGACAATTAATTGTCAAGGTCTGGTTCCAATTAAACGAGCTTAATTAGCATCATAAAATCTTTTTTATAATATGTATCAGTATTGTTATATTATGAGAAATAATTTTTGAATAATATCCTTCATATTTACCGACTTTTCTAGTGAAATAATTTCAGTCGTGATTACGCGTTTCCACTCTATCGTGTTTTCGCAATAATTTCAATTTGTTCCCGTAAATTGATATTTAACTCTGCATTCAGTATTCAACGCATGGCCTTCTCTCTAAACAGCAAAATAATTTCGTAATATCGCAAAAAATTTATTCCTTTCTCTCTTCTTTATCCTATAAATTTCGATACCACAGTTATTACATCTTGTTGCAATCTTGACATAAAAAGCGAACGTTTATCGAAGTGAAATGTCAGCAGTGCTGATAGATAAAAAAAATGTCAGGGTAATACGTCATACTTTTATAGTCTGATGATCATGCAATTGTGTCATTATATATTTACGTATTAAAAATAATCACTATCATGATCCATAGCATCTCAAAACTGTGTTATCGTTTTCATAATTAATTGATGATAGTCTCACGTGAAAGACAAGGAATTAGATTTACCATTGAAAAGCATTTTTCTATTTTTTAGATTATCTATTTGAATTATTATATATTAAAAAGATATGATTCGAAATTAAATTTAAAGACGATACAATAATTGTGGAATTTCGCATTTTCGTAACCGGCATTGATTAGATAATAATGTTTGATAAATAATTGCAATTATATATATTATATATGAATATCAATATTTTTATATTATATTACATATATGTTACATATATATTACTTTTTATTTAAAACATATGCAAATTACTTTTAAATTACATATCCCGATAGTTGAAATTTTGTAAAACATAGTTACAATTTGAAGTCTGTTTAATAATTAATAATTAGAAAAAGCAATATAATTATTAGGAAATATCATTTATGTATGTTTAACTTACACAACTAACGATTCCAAACCATTACAATGTCGAAGCAACATGTTGCATAATGTTTTTCTTTCTATAATTGTTCTACTCCAAAAGATTGCATTATCTCAATATATTTTACTGAAACTAAAATACTAATAATAATCGGGACTATAAGCAAATCATCATGACCTCGAGGTCACACACGCAAATCTCATTTTTATTATTTTACAGACTACCACTCTCATGGTCGTGATAACTGATAACGCGCAATCTTCTTGCGCGGAATTTCTTTGCCCTCGTAGAGTGGAACTTACCGATCCAAGCAACCAACGCGAAAGAACCACTCGCTTGCGAATAACGACGCGAGTGACAGTATCGCGCGTAAGGGTGGCCGCAAATTTCGTTAAGTACTACACACACTCCGTCGTCTATGAGAAATTGTCCAATCTCTTAGCATCACATTGCCGAGAGAGATTGTGGCAGTCGTTCTCCAGTTCAATAGTGGCATTAGCGGTGTTCGTGCATCCGCTCTCTTACGTTCGCGATCAAGACCAATACATTGGTGGATTCATCATCAAGCCATCCCCTTGTTATTTGTTGTAATATCCCATTGTGATCAAGTGCATGTTACTCAGTGTACACTGCACAATTACACCCAAAATCGAGGTATCATCCTTTTACGTTGACATTTCGCTTTGCATCGCCTAAAGCTTAATCAAATTTGTATCGTAGAAAACTGTGGTAAATGTAATTTTCAGTAACGATAGATTATAAATTAGTGGAATAAATTATTAGAATTTTTTATGTGTTTTTAATAAATTATTATATGTATGACTACCATTTTTATTTTTGTAACTGTATTAATAATATATACATAAAGATATATTCTTTTTTTTTTTAATTATTAAGAATTGCATTTCTATTGCACGAAGAAACAGTTTTTGAGATATAAATGTGCAAGTTTTTTAATAGATTAAACAATTCAGTCAAGTATGGTAAAAGTATTACGCATTAATATTTTAATGTAAAATGTGTATATAAACAGAAAGGTCAAATATAATTTGCAATTTGATTACGATTAAATATGAAAAAAAAATTATTATTGAATAGATATAAAAGATAGACAAACTAAATTGCTTTGAACATAAAATATGTAAGTGTAATAACTAATAATAAAATTTTTTAAATTAAAATATTTTACTTTTATATAACGTAAAAATCTATTCGATTATTCTTCTCTCTCTTTCTGTCTCTCTCTCTCTCTCTCTCTCTCTCTCTCTCTCTCTCTCTCTCTCAAGCAAATAACACAGTTTTAATTTAAAAAAATTATCAGCGTCTTAATTATAAGCAATTTGATAATAATTGTTATTAAAAAATGTATTTATAATTTCTACACAATTTATAATTAATAATATAATTGTGTTTATATTTGATTTAGATATAGAAAAATCATTATTTCTTTATTTCTTAATTTACGCAGTATATAAATGCATGCAAAAAATTATCACATTTTAACTTGTTTAAGAAACTTATTATAACTTTATAACGCGAGATAAACCACGACAATCTGCGCTTTATTTTTAATTCAAATAGATTTGCAAATGAAAATAGTATTCGCATTAATGCAAATGTTTTTTTTTTCAGCGTGAACGCGCGTATGTGATACGTAACTCAAGGGCAATCAGTGATTTAAACGCGTTGTGATACAACAAGATACCCGGATAAATTTTCCGATTCTAGCAAACAGCCGAGATGGCGAGCGTAGACAGAGATCTCGAGGAACTCATGTCCCACCTTGGTGAATTCGGCAAATACCAATTGCAACAGTACTCTCTTCACATGCTTGCCGCGTTTACGGCCGGCCTGCACATGCTGAGCCTACTGATGGTCGCGGCGGTGCCGCCGTATCATTGCAATATCCCAGAAGTGAACTTGTCATCTTCCATAACCGAGACATATAACTTGACCTTTCCCGACTGGAATACCTCGGTCGTTTCGGAACATCTTCCGCGTCCCCTCGACAGCTGTCACTATCTGGATCGCGACAATGTCACCCGAGAATGTGACTCATGGACCTATGACACGACGTACATCCAGTCATCGCGTGCCATAGAATGGAACTTTGTGTGCTCGCGACGTTGGATGGGCGCCATGGCGCAATCCTCCTACATGTTTGGCGTGTTTATTGGCGCGGCCACTTTGGGTACCATGGCAGATAAATACGGCAGGAAAATTATATTTTACATATCCACAATGTTGCAGCTGGTGTTTGGGGTGTCGGTGGCTCTTGTGAATAATTACTATATCTTCCTGGTGATTCGCTTTTTGTATGGCATCTTCGGCTCCGCCGGCGCTTACATCACCGCGTTTGTATTGACAATGGAATTGGTAGGTCCGTCCAAGAGAACGGTGTGCGGTGTGTTGATGCAATTGACTTTCGCTATAGGCTTTATGGTAGTAGCCATGTGGGGCGTTATAATCCACGATCGTATGTGGTTGCAGATCATATTCGGCATGCACAGCGTGCTTTTGCTCGGCCACTGGTGGTTGATGGACGAGTCACCCAGATGGTTGTGGGCGCAAGGTCGCGTCGCCGAAGCGATCATCATTGTGCAGAGGGGTTTGAAAATAAACGGCAGCAACGTACAAGTGGACGCGGCTAAGCTTATTAGCAAAGCAAAGACGCAACACGAGAACAAGGAGGAAAGATCGTATGGTGCATTGGATCTTTTCAAGACACCGAATCTCCGTAAAAAGACTCTCAATATATGTTTTAATTGGTTCGCCAACTCGATCGCCTATTATGGATTGACCCTTAACACAGGCAATCTAGTCACCAATCCATTCCTCACGCTGTTCCTCAACGCTGTGATGGAGGCACCAGCGTCAATCTTTATAATATTTACCCTGGACCGCACCGGCAGGAGATGTCTGGTCAGCGCATTCATGATGATCGGCGGCGTATGCTGCATCTTCGCCGCCGGTATTACTGGCGTGACCGGTGATTTGGCGAATATCATCAGAATTACGATAGTGTTGGTGGGCAAGTCTTGCGTAGCCGGCTCGTTTGCCGTCGTGTATAATTACACGGCCGAACTATTTCCCACGGTGGTAAGAAACACCGCGGTCGGTATCGGCTCCATGTGCGCGCGTCTCAGCAGCACACTCACGCCGATGATCTTTTTGCTGGATTCGCTAGACCCGCGGATGCCAACCGCGCTCTTCGGATTGGTCGTTTTAACTGCAGGTTACCTGGCGCTCTACCTGCCGGAAACGCTGAATCAGCCGATGCCGGAGACCATGGAGGACGGCGAGAACTTCGGCAAGGGCGATACCTGCTTCACTACCTGCATGGGCGGTGGAGCGAAAGCCACCTCGAACGACCATGACATCGTGATGGAGGAGACACACGAGAGAGATGAGAAGGAAAGGTTGAAAAATATATAAAGCGTATTGCCGTATAAAAAATTCACAAAGTACCTTTGACCAGTACTTATGACTATATCGCGGAGAAAAGGGACGTACATTATCCTGCCCATGTCCGCAACATGAAGTTACTAAGCTGATATTAGAGATACTTATTCTTGAATTTAATCCAGCTCTAATACGCACAACTCATCAATAGAAAGGAATTATTTTGAAATAATTTATATACATTAGATATAAAAATGTTTTAGAATTGCATATGTGACATTATATTGACATAATATTGATAATATTTTATGCTCTATTTTTACAAAAATTGTCAAAATATTTAAAGATTTTATAATAACAATAATAATACAAATTTTACATCAGAAAAAGACAATATTTTTATAGATAAAGAATACGCATGACAGTAATTTCGATTTTGTAAAGTCATGTATTTTGTTGATTGGATATAATAGCACTATATATCATATATTTTTATACACATGAGCGTTTAATAATCATTAACTACAAAAATTTCATGGATGAGAAATATCTGAAGAGAAGTGATTAAAAGTTTAAGCGGCACTGTTTTCCCGCTAGCGTAAAATCCATCGCCATAAAATCCTTATGAATAATCCGACAGAATCAACGAGGAAATAAATTCGTTTACATCTGACTTATCTCGTTACTTTCAGCGAGATAAACTGACCGACAAAAGTTTAAGGGTTCTACGAGATAAAGTGAAAAATGTGTGGGACACTTTAAAGCGCACATATGATCTTAATGGCGAGGATGGCAATTTCGAAAAGATGTTCCGAAAAGATGTGAGAGATTCTCTGGCGGTAAAACCGCCAATTCGCTCCTCTCCCTAGCTAATGGAAAAACTTTGTCGCCTAGTTCAACGCTTTTCCAATCATAAAGTTTGAAAAATGGTCGCGTCGGTTATCTGTGGATTTTTTTATCGTTAAATTAACGATGGCAGAGAAAGATCTTATCTCTGGTAAAATTTGTTAAATTTTGTCAAACAATTTAAATTGTTATGAAAAAGTTGCGAAAGACTTATAATTCTCAATTATATTTTATAATTAATATTACCGTAATATATATATTTCGTAGAAAATATTTATTACAATTACAGAACACACTTATTCGTTATCTAATACACGATATCCCCTTTAAAATAGTCCCTTCCTAAAGCAATGCACTTGATCCAATGTTTTTTCTATTGCAGAAAGCAGTCTTCAAAATCATTCTCCGTGAGGCTGTTTAGAACACGCGTCAACTATTCCACCTCCGCTTGTGACCCCCAATGACGGTCCTTCATATCTTTCTTGATCTTGGGGAATAGAAAAAAATCGGAGGAGGTCAGATCGGACCCCCCTGACTTTTTTCTATTTCCCAAAATCAAGAGGGACATGAAGGATCGTCATGGGGTCATTGGGGGTCACGAGCGGAAGTGGAATGGATGACGCGTGCTCTAAACAGCCTCACGGAGAATGATTTTGAAGACTGCTTCCTGCAATGGAAAAAACATTGGATCAAGTGCATTGCTTTAGGAAGGGACTATTTTAAAGGGGATATCGTGTATTAGATAACGAATAAGTGTGTTCTGTAATTGTAATAAATATTTTCTACGAAATATATATATAATGCGCTACATGCGGTTGAACGCTAAGTACTAAAGTAGCAATGTGTGCTTACTGTAGAATGCTTACTCTCAATGTCATTCGAGTTATCGCGCTTCATAAAATCTAATATTAAAAAAACATAAAATGTACATACACATTTTGCAGATACATTTGTTATTCGGAAGAATATTCTTCGGCGTTATATAATTTATGCGCAGATTTTACATATGAAGCGGCTGATAACAGGAAATTTTTCCGCACGTACTTTCCCATTATCTGATGGTATTCATATAATAACCGTCGAGCACAACGGCGCAATGCTGGTTGCATCTCTCTTTTGATTAGAACGTTTAACATGAGATCGATATACGCGTCGTCGATGACTTTTGTGGGATTCGCAAAATGCTGTGAGATCAGCTGTGCGAGTTGTAACGCATTCGCGCTCGAATTTCATGCCCGAAATTCCATATGTGCGTAAAATCATCATCGTGGCGAAATTAAATATACTTTGGCTCTAAATCATGATACTAAACTCTAATGATTAAATGTGAAAATATTAAGTCGCAGATGAATAATTTATAAATATAATCTTTAGAAAAATTTCATTATCAAGTATTTGTTGAGCAGAGTGTACGCATCAAGTTTTGCTTTTCTTGGATATAGAAGTTATTAATTATTCCATGAGAGATGAAGGAGCAATGCAGATATAATTAACACCGCTTGGAATTTTTCTAAAGTTTCAACAAGACAATAGTAATTATATAATGAAACGAAATATTCAACTTTAGTCATCTATTAAATAATATCTAGGATACCTAGATAATAAATATCTAATGTAAATATATCTAGAGAAAGAATCGGAATAAAATTCAGACAAAATTCTCGAAAATATCATAAAAATGAGAACACGCCCTCGAAAAGCGGAGCAACTTCTTGTAATTGCCGTAGCTCGTACAGCTTATATAAATGTAAATCCGACCCTGATGAATCGTACACTCACCTGCGTTATCGAACGCGTACAAGTCCATGCGCGAGGGATGCTGGAGCGGGAGATACGAGAGCACACAGTAGCAAGGAGCGCGCGTCGCCAACTGAACTCCCGCTCTGTGCTCGCCCATTAAATCGCGGAAAACGTTGCACCAGCGCGCGCAACTCTGTCAAACATGGTACAACAAATTTGATCTCCCGTAGAATTGGATCGCGAAAGTATCGTCGTACTCCAAGATTCGTCGCATCCGATTTTTAGATGAAAGGCAACGAAATACGAGAAGACGAGAGAGCTTTGACGAGAGAGAGCTTCGCACGATCAATAAAGATCGAGTAACTTTGTAACTAATGGTTCAAGTTAATTAAAGTTTAATTCTCTGTACGATCTTGTCCTGCATTAAGATTAATTTGGCATTCATCCAACACATTTCTGGAAAACGATGAACAGTTATGATTTGCAAATTATTCTTCACATTTTCGTCGAACTCTATAAATAGTAAAAAATTCATAGTATTAATATTATACATCACAGATTATATAATTTAAACTGATTTATGACTATGCTACTTAAACTTGTGATCATATCGATATAAATCATTATTTAGTTAATTAGGATTATTTCGATTATTAAATATCAAATAAAAAGCTTTTTGAAAAAATTCGAAACAATGACACATATTTTTTTTTCAATGTAGACACGTTCTTCTCGCTGAAACAATAAAAACAGAGATGAATTTCAAGTTTTCATTTCCTAAGCAAGCTCCGATAGAAGTACCATCATTCCGCTTCGATAGATGGAAACTTTTTATTGCGCTTTCATATCCCTTCGACAATTGACGAAGTTCTTGGCTCGAGGCGATTAAAAAGTAAATCCACGATCGATTTAATATTTAATGCGTGCGAAGCGAATTTCATTGACACCTGTTTATATCTCACACATAAACTTTATAGAAAATGTGTTCATATCGTAAGAAAAAAATTTTTCTAGTTCACATATCAAATTAATTAAACAAATTATATTAATTATTAATATAAAATTCAATTTCAACAATATATTAGAATCATTGTAATGATCGTAATCATTAAATCAATTTAATATTTAAGACTATCAATTATGAAATCTTTTTTTTGTTTATGTAATTTTGTCTTATTTATTTAATCTTTTTCTTATATATAATATTAGTTAAAAGATAATATTATTTTTTTAAATTTGCACATTGTTTTGCATATTGAAAAATTGTCTCACGAAAAGATAATTATGTTTTAATTATCGCCACTAGACTTTAATTAAATTGAGGCCATCTTTGAACACGCCATAAAACAGTTGGACATGTCCTAATTGCGAATTCCCGGTGACTCGTTTATAAGCAGCGGAGATACAACACATTGTGCCATGCAAATTATTCTAATTAGTAAAGTCAGCATACGAATTTTAGCTTGTCTTTATATGCAAGATATTTCGAATATCGATTAAATAAATATCAGACAAAGTTGATTAAAAATGATTATTATATCTTGTCTTTTCAAATTATATTTAAAATAACTTTTTTCTTTGTTCAAAAATTATACAAAATAAAATAATATAAAATTTGAAAATTTGCCAATTAAATCTTATTGTTTTATGCAAAAATTGATAAGCCTTATTTATACAATTGGGATCGCATCTTTTCTAGAGATACAAATAGACAATAAGCCAATTAAATCTGTTTATTAAAAAATTAAACATCAAGTTCTAATTATGCTTAAAAATTAAAGATAATTTTCATTTTTAATTTTGGAATAATTATTATATTATTATATGAAAATCAAGAAATCTGAAAAGTATGTGTTAATTCGATCATATATTCATTTAAATAATGTTCGTATCCATAATCTACTAAAATAAACTTAGAGCATTGTCTGATTGCTTATTAATTACAAAAATACACGCACGGTGGACTGAAAAATATGGCACAGCATCGTGCATAACATTTCTTTAAAAATGATATGTATGTATATAATGCTTATAGTACTCAAAAAAAATGTAGATGCGATTACTCACATATTTCTCTCCCGTACTAATTAATCAACTTTTTAACGATTTTCATGATTACTCAACGTGCACATATAACTTTTTGCAGTGTCGTTTTCTCAAATAAAAGACGGAAAAGAAAATACAGGTATATACATCGATGCAGCTCTTATAATATGCAACTCTCATCCATTTATTTCAACACATTAATAAAATATATATATGCGTATATTTTTATCTACAAATTGTCCCAGAGATTTTCATCTTAATATTAACAAAGTTCATGAGATATAAAAACATTAGATATAAAAAAATAATTTTTCCGAAACTTTTTCCTTCAGAAATTTTAAATTTGCTCGCTTCTGATATTTAATTCCTGCTAATAAAAAATCTGTAGGTAAGTTTAAATAAATATTGTTTGTTATTAATTGCAGCGCAAGAAAATTCAATTCGCGACAAACATCTTATTATGAATATTATAGGTCGAGATCTCTCTTTTTCTCTCTTTCGCTCTCTTTCGGAAATATTTCGCATATTCGTATATATACATCGCTCTCCCTCTCCCTCTCTCTCTCTCTCTCTCTCTCCCTCTCCCTCTCCCTCTCCTCTCTCTCTCTGCAGTGGAGAAGACGTGTCAAACATCGCTCCGCAAAAGTAATAACTTTTAAACGGTTAAATAGTTACGGGGAGTGATAGAAAGTTA